CAACACACACACACACACAGAGGAAAAAAGAAGGATTTAACTAATCTTCCAACAGGAATATAGGCTAACATTTTATCGAATAACAAGGGGCAAAGTAATACTGATACAAAATCAATGCAATTTGAAAATGACCAGTTGTGTGCGTTTTAGATCTTTGCAATACTGATAACATCAAAGAGAAAAGCAGCCACCAGATAATAATGAATATCAATTAAAAAGTCCATTTCAATTCAAAATAAAATTTTTAGCTTGAGGTAGAAATATCAAGGTGAAAATTATAAAAAGCATGGTATGATCTTTTTCGTAAATAAAGGAGAAGGGAAGCAAACTAACCTGGTTACGAAAGATGACGTACGCAAGACAGAGGTAGATCAAAAGGAAGGGCAAGATCAAGGGAGCTAGGAAGAAATATGTAATACCAAGAAGTGCAAAAAAGAGAATTCTTGGAATATCCCTATGAAAAGGAATAGATGGAACTTCAAAATCATCATCTGTGTCCTTACTAAAAGGTCTTCTTATCAGACTGCAAAAAAGAGGAATTATGCGGAAGAGTTCTGATGCAGTGCTTGTCCATCCAGATGTTACAACATAAGCAACAAAAAATGATGCCTACAGGAAAAGTTAATATTGTCATAAGAATAGAAGAAGTGGACAGATTGTCAGTATATATAGGCACACATGAACAATCATATGAAATAAGATTAAGAAATCCTATGTTTGACATTTCTATACACTTACAGGAAACACATCCTTTCATATTTGTTCTGCTACTGAGGAAATGAATGAAGGAATATTAGAGGGCAAAGAACAATAAGGATCCAAGATTAGTAAATTAAACAAAATGCCTTTCCTCTAATGACTTCATCTTATAAACACAACTTTTCTTTTTTCTTTTTTTTTTTTTTTTTGTCTTTTTCTAATAAAGCTATATTGATACCATGTAAAATTTCTATTCCTTGAAGCAACTTAAAAATTTTCAACTGCTTTGGGCAACAACTTCCACAAGTGCAAAATCAAAGAAGTAACTATCCTATGGTTGTAATCAAAACTGAGTCTAAAGAAATAGCTTATAAGATCAAATACTTTACTCCTCTCATCTAGTGAGCTCTAAACAGTGAGAGGACAGATTTAGTTAGGAAAAGCAAAGAACAACTTCTGTCCCACATATCACCCCTCAAATTTAATCAATATCATAAATTCTGGTTAATAAAAGAATGAAATGCAACCTAAGAAGTTAATTATTGTGAGATTAGAATTTTTTGATAAGCAAAGAAATTGTATAACATAGGAGTACAAGTGGTACTCTAACCCACCATCACAAGATAAATTACGGACAAATCTCAACTTCAAACAACAGACTAAGTACATGAAACACAGAAGGCATCCTATCCCAATCACTCCAAGATTACATCTCAGCAATTTGATCTGCACACAAACTCAGGAACAGGTTGAACACTTAGTTTTTCCCTTTTAACCACCAAAACGATTGGATCAGCTCTAAAATTTTCATCTCATCCCCACTGTAAATTCTTGAATAAAATCCCATTTCTATAAAGCCATAATGACCACACAATAACTAAAAAACCAGTGCCCTTACCTTCCTAACTTTCCTGTCAAACAACCCAAAAACCAATTTCAGACAAAAATCATAGACAGAATCCCAACAAACAAAGAGCCATCCCCACCTTTAAGAAAGAAAAAAGTACATTCAAGAAACTAGTACACCACAATTTGTCAAGGCCCAAATGAACTTCATGATGAAATAATCTTGGCTCTTGAGAGGAGAACAGTTCAACGGCTCTTCTAGCCACTTAATGAAGTTATCTTAAAGAAACAAATTGCATAGGTGAAAATGCTAAAATAATTTCCAACACTACTTCTAGTTTAAAATGCACAATAAATTGGTAGAAATCAAGTATTTTGAGAAAGAGAATGTGATCATATAATATGAATGAATGTAACTCAATTAATCAATTTTCACCCACATGATTGCAGCTACCTTTATGCCAATGAACCCTCTCTTTATTTTTATAGAGTTAAAAAAAAATTTTAACTAAACTCTACTCAGACATTTTTCTCACCTGTGCAGGAACTGCAACAGCTAGCTTTGAAGGGATATTCTTTGGATCAAGAAGGATGGACACCTGATACAGAACTGATCCAGAAAATACAGTTGCAAAAAAGATGTTCCATATTGTGAACCACAGCACTTTGTTACATGCACTCTTTTCTATATCACTATGACATATGTACCCTTGAATGGAGGAAAGAAATTCCATTATTGGAGGCACAATCTTAAGGAACAACAGAAGAATAAGGCTGGGAAGGTAGCCTGTAACTACTGAACTGACAAAAGTTCTGCAAGTAAGACAAACAACAGGTAAACTCATCTTTACCAAAATAACACACAACTATTGCCATGTTCACTTAAGAGATCAAATCACATTAGAAAACTACAATACAAGACCACAGATAACTACCCCCATCTCCATGTTTCTTATAATTAATCAACATAATGAAAAATGCAACAAGCAAGAACTATAAAGTTGTGCAGATATCAAAGGTGCCAACAATGCCCATGAATAATCAACAAAATGTTGACCTATGGTCCTTATCTACCGTTGGATTGGTTAGGAACTTTGAAAGAAGTTTTTTTATTAGGACTTAATAATTATCTAACTATTTCTAACAAAAAAGAATTATTTTAAGTCCCTCTCAAGTTGAATTGATAATAAACTGAGGGGTGTTCTGGTAACTTTTGCTGCTGCTTTTGGTCTTCATTTTGAGTCTATTTGAGTTCAAGAGTTGTTAGTATTCAATATTTTAATTTAATTACTTATTAAGAAGTCCTAGATCATAATGTCCTTATTTTACCATTGCAGCTGCGACCTTTTTCTTCCATCTCTCATTCAATTCATTTTGTACCAACCCTAGAAAACCTTTTCTTACAACCCTAACCACATTTAAATCAATTAGGATCAAATTTTGGTTTAAAATCCAGAAATCATGTTCTAGATAAGCTTCTAAGTTCTTTAATTTATTCCTTTGAAACCAAACCTAATTCTAACAGAAATTTGAGCTCTCAACAATTTTCCTACTTGTCACCATCAAATAACCATAGGATTAAACCATCAACTGTCCTAAGTATTTTATAGAAATTTTTCTCCATTCAAGAAAAAATCAGAAACAAAGAGGTCTTAGATGACATGAGACAGAAAGAAAAATATGAATCGCTAATAATATGATCTAAAAACCATCCATGTCTTAGTTGTGCGTTTGTACATTGTTTTAGTTGAATTTTTGAACCCTAATTTTGTTGTTTTCTTAAGACATTGTTTGACACTTTGATTGGGTTGGAGTACCCTTCTACTCCCTCTTAATATATATTATTTAATTTGGCTGATCCAAAAAATATGAATAATAATAACAATAATATAATCTAAAAATTGGGCAAAACCATTCCGTAAGCCCTTAAACTTACCCAATTTTAGCATATAGGCCCCTGAACTAAAAAAAAAAAGCAAATAGACCCTTGAACTGCACAAATTGCAGCTAATTAGCCCCTTGTTAACAGATCAACTGATGTGACAAATAAAGGAACAAATGAAGTTAATGCATCAATGTGGCAATTAAATGAAATTAGCAACTAAATTGAATTTATTCATTTTTTTTATTGTTAGATAAATGTTCATTAATGATAATCATTTATCTTATCAGCCACATTAGTTACAATTAATAGAAACTATCATTAGTCATTAACAAAGAGCTAATTTGCTTTAATTGCATGGTTTAAGGATTTATTTGCTTGTTTTTTTAATTTATGGGCATATCTGCTAAAATGGGGCAAGTTTGAGCACTTAAGGAATAGTTTTGCCCAAAAAATACATAAATTGCACACAGTAAAAGGTCAAAGGAATTACAATCATACACTTTTTAGGGGAAGCTGATGTGAAGAAGGTTTGACTATTTGTAGCTACAAAGGCAGTTATCAAATATAGAGGGAATCATATTACATAAGATCTTTGATTTCTGTTTCTAGGAGCCAACATAAAGATGTTGTGAATACCCACTGTCTTTGAACATTATATGCTTAATTTAGGACTTAAATCAGGTTTCTTAATCCTATTTAAGGCATTAGGCATTTTATGTCAAACTTTCAAAATGCAAATACTCAAAGTACAATAAGCTAAATTTAGAATCTTGTAATTGCACTGATAAGCATATGAATGATGGTAAACTTTTAGAGTTTATTTTCTTATCCCATTAGGGGGAGAGGAAATGGGTTGTTGGTGCCTGGGGGAGGAGAGCAGGGGGTGTGTTGTGGTGGGTTGGTCTGGTTGGTGGGTGGTGGGTGTGGTTGTTGGCTTGTTGCTTAGTTGAGTTTAAGGTATTATGTGGGTCTCCTTTTAAAGCTGTTAGGATGAGTGATAAGAACAGTAAAAGCAGCAACGAGGGTGAAACAAACTGAAGATCTTAAAGAATGACTTACATGGTTAGAAAGCTTTTCAAGAATGGAAACCAAATTTCCAGCTGACTTAGGTTAGTAAGACCTTGCACCAGCACCACTGGAATAAGGAATAAAATTGTGAGAAGAATACAGGCGACTATAACCACAAGCTTAGAAATCCATCTCCTCATGAAAGATGACGAAAAGAAAGGCCAATAGACATCCTTAGGCTCAGGAGCTTGTTCTATGACCCATTGTGTAGGATTTGTTGATTGTTGCATGTGGAAAGCAATAGCAGCACCATATCGGGTCTTAAATGAAACAAATGCAGCTCGGACTTCCTTATAGATCAAAGAAAACATATATTAATATAGTGCTTCCCATATGAAGCAAAAATTTTTTAAAAAAAATACAGAACTTCAGTTCTATGACCCACTAAGTTCACTTGATTGGAAACCAGTCCAACATGAATCTTGGATTTTAATGATCAGAACTTGCCACTACATAAGTACAAAAAATTTAGTTGAGGTTAAATACTTTGTAATGAGCTAGCCAAAAATATCTATCAGAACAGCATGATTGCAAAAAAGAATATGAAGGGACAAGATTGGAAATGTCATTTGGACATTTAGAACTTCAGTTCTAATGGACTTTCTTCCTCAAAGCCATGACCACCCAATCAAGATATCTCATAAACATACGTGGTATTAGAAACAACAGAGCCCTTCTAAAGTATTTTGTTTATCAGCCTTCAAAAATAAAAAAATTTCTTATAAGAAAAAGTAAAGGTCACCTCTGTAAAGAAAATCAACTGGATTATTTTCAGGGTAACAAAAATGGACTCCTTAAGCAGAGGCAAAAAAGTGGGTGGGGGGAGACTGTTTAAGTCTACCTTTAACCATATAACATGGATCCATGAGAATTAAATTAGGGGATTAAAAACCCATGCTCCAAGAAAAGAAGAATCTAGACCCATTACCTCTTCCTAAAGTATGCTTACCACAAAGAATAATCACAGAGCTGAACAGGGCTCAAAAATTTTATGCAAAATACCTTGTATCCACTCCAACTGTTGTTTGTAATGTTGCTCCTTTGTTGTAATTTATAACAGAAAACTGAAGTGCAGTCCACCCTGCGCAGACTGCACTTTTTATAACCATTGATGGAGGGTCAGGTCCTCCTGATATTGGGGTCCCACCCCTCTATCAATGGTTAAAAGTAGTGCAGTCCAAGTAGGACAGACTGTACTACAGCATTCTCATTTACAAATGCATAAATCATAAAAATACTACTAACTGATGACTTCTAATTTCTTAAACTCCATATCAAAGCTTATTCTTCTCTTTTCCATATATTTTTGTTTCATTGTTATTTTGTCAAAAAAATAATAATAATAAAGAATGTAATTAGTGTGGTGAAATCCAGCTTAGTACTTGCTATTTAGCTTTGCCCTGAAAATGCTTTTCTAGAATTTCTTTCATAATGGACATATATGGAAAACTTTTTCTTTATACTTTCTAGTATAACAGAACAGTGTCTTTTTAGCATATGATAAAATCATATCTTTGAAGTTGTAATGATAATAAGAAAACAAAATGCAAAATATGTTGGAATAAAATCAGAGGTTGTTGAAACAAAAAAATAAAAGGATAAAAAACACACCTCTGCCATTGAAACCTCTGATTGCTCTAATCTCACATTCTCCTCTATGTCCTCCAACTTCTTTTCGAACTGATCCATGAGATCAACCTTCTGCCCGAATAGTCCAATACGTGTATTCTTTTGTTTATTAGGATCAGATTGTAAATGAATAATCCTTTTATATAATTTCTTTGCATCATTCTGAAAAAGAAAATGAAATTATTGTTAAAAACACTGCATAGTGAATCTTAAACCCAAAACTAAACTTGGTGCACCACATAAACATACCAGTTAAATTTATGTGTTTTTAAATGACAATTCAACTATTAAAATTAAAAATGTTTAAATTAATAAAGCCTAATGAATGCTGAAAATTGGATGTGGACAGAGCACTATATAATTTTACATTCTTCAATTAATATCAGGTCAGATTATTTCTTTATATTTTCAGATAGATCATGTTTTTTGTTTTTGCTAACGTGAAGCAACTATTAAACCTAGATTAGAGCCTCCAGGATCATAAGTTTGAACTCTAGGAAATTTAGGAGTAGAGCTAAGATCTAGATCTTTTTTCAAGTTCAAATCCTTCAAGTATACCCTATTTCTAGATCTAATCTCAGCTTTACTTCCTCTGATTTAAACCCCATAAAAACTTCTTCAAAAATCTCAAAAAATTATGTATCATCTATGCAGACCAAATTTCAACATGTTCACAGCACCAAAGCAGTCCCTAGTTGAGCTTCTTAGACACTTACCATGCCAACTACCAAAAACCTATAATCATAGAAATAAGCCCTGAAATCCTTTTAACACACCACAGTTTCATTGTAAGTAGAATTGCCAAATTGGTCCTACATCACCTATGGAAGAAGATCACCAGCAGGATTTGTTGGCAAATGCATGTTGCTTTGTAAGTGGAGTTTGATGATGAATAGCATACATGACCTTTTTTTTCCTTCCTTTAACCATTGTTTGAACAGATGCAACATAGAATGATAGTTTAAAGTTTATGGATCTTGAATTCATCATGTGAAAAGCTTGTGCTTACAGTCCAAGACTCCAAGATGAAATTGAATACGCATAGTATAAGTGTCAAGAGAAAAAAAAATAGTTGGGGTCTCATCCAATTGTTCACTAATTGAACCACCAACTCATCAGTTCAAACATAGAATTCAAAAATAAACCGATATTCTTATATATTAAACAATGTCAAAAAAATTATATAAAAAAGAAGGGAAAGGTGTCCATCTGCCTTACCTCCTAAAAATTAAGCATGAATTAAATTGTTTTTGGTCATTTCTCGTGGTACTTTATTGAAACGACATAGTTTTAGATTAATTTTCCTCCTAATTTTTAAAAGATAAGGCAGATAAGCACTAATTTCAAAAGAGAAAAAATTTCATAAATAACAAACAATATGACATTTCTAAAACTTAAATAATTAATATTCTGTCATTATATTGTTTATAATTTAGACTCTTCTTTTACTTCTTAATTCTCAAAATCTTATGTGACTAAAAAAATCAATAGAATTTATCAGAATCCATCTAATTTTAGGTTTTAATTTCATTTTAGTGTGTATATAAGAAAAACAACCTGGTTCACACAAAAAAGAAAAAAGGAAAAAAAAAAAAAAAAAGCTGTTTACCAAAGTTTTTACTGATTTTTTCTATTTAATAGTTTTTTTTTTCCTTTGATAAAAGCAGTCTTTTGATTGGAACAGACCACCATCAGCTCTGGTTCACAGTTTTATCTCAGTGAGGAGAAAGGAAACATAGGAACTTAAAAAAATTATTTAAATGCTAAGAAAATGAAAAATAACAGAAAGAGATGCTTACAATGAGACTTCGAAGTTTATTGGTTCGATGAACAACCATCTGCGACAGATATGTACTAGGATGATACTCAGTAAAAAATCTTTCAACACTCTCACCAACACTGCTTCCAGAAGAAACAGGAACACTGCGAACTAAGACAGTGAACTGATGAGGCTGAGGTTTGGATGAATGAAAATAAGCAATCCTTTTTAAGCATATATATTTGTATTCCTGCAGAGTAAATAACATCCAGTTCAGTGTTAAATAGTTAGAAGTTGAATAGCCCAACAGTTTTTAGGAGTTGAGAAAATAATGATTGGTGGAACCAATAAAATTTTTATTTATATTTCCTAAAATATTTATAAAAATTCAAAAACTATATAGGTGCCATAGCAGAGATTAAATAGAGTACATAATTGTCACTGGTCAAATTCTAAAAAGTTAACTTACATTATAAAGTAGAATGCAAACAAATGCAGTGACAAGATATACAGCACAGAAGTGAGCCCATAACCTGCCAAAAAAGTCCTAAAACTAGTAAGTTTTCCTTCACAACTTGCCTTGCTTTTAAGTCTGTAATGACAGTAAGAGAAAGCTCATCAATTGTTTGCTCCTCATCAAATCACACCAAGCACCACATCCACTTAGGTTTCCTAAGAATTTATTGACAAAAAAAATATTACTCAAGCAAGACAGCATGTTAGTTTCTGAAAGCATCCATCCAAATACTTGAACATGCTCAAACTGTAGCTGATCAAAAAGATAAAAAAATGCTCAAACTGTAGATAACTTTGTAAAAGAAAAGCTTGTAGACAATGAAAATAATTTGAATGGGCAATTAATGATGACCTTTAAGTACAACTTAAAAGGAAATAAAGAAATGAAACGATGTTGAAAGCCTGGAACAGATTCCATGCTCTAAATACCCTTAAATAAGATTTTCTTTCTTTCTTTCTTTCTTTCTTGTCATAATCATTAAATATATGAAGGTTTAATTAGGGAAGTTATCTGCCAAGAAAATCTCTAAAACTGAAATAAATGGCAGAGCAAGAGTTTAGGTAAAGGTAAGATGACTAGTATGAACATCAATTCTAACATGCAGGCTAAGCTAACAATAAATGAGCTTGACAGAAACTGGGTTCTGCTACCATGACAGAGTGTCACGGGTTTACCCTTAGTTGACTGATGTGATATTTTTCCACTTAACAATCATGGTCAAACCTAAGGATATGATAACATTATCTCAAGTCCCAAGGATGGATGTCTCTTGCCATGGCACTCCTAGGTGAAGCAGGCACTACTAGGCAGAGTGCATAAGGCATGCCAATCCCACATCAAATAGCAAGGAATCAATCCTGGGCCAATGCATTTTTTTAATCTATCTAGATTTGTGCTGTAAATTGACTCCAAGGATTTACCAAAACAGGGGGTGCAGGGGGATACAGCATAAGTATCACTAATTCTTTGATTGCGAAAATGAAAACTCAATCCATATAGGATCAATTATAATCAATCTACCAAAGAAGGCTAATAGCTAAAACAGGTTTGTTTATTAGATAGTTAAGTTTTTGCTGAGAACAACCCTCCTTTGAGTGAGCTCATGGAAATGATTTTAACCAAACAACTTGAAGTTACAAGATAAATCAACAAAAAGTACAACAAAGAGGAACAACCAAGACAACCTTTTTATTTATATAAATTATGTTTGATGTAACAAGGCAATTGCCTCATCCAATAGGCTAGTCTTTTTGGTTGAGAATGTGACAAGTTCTATCAGAACAGCCCAACTCGTCATCAGGAGTCATGCCAAGCATCTTGTGTGAGTCACAGCAAGCACTTTAAGGAGTAGGCAAGGTGACCCAGGAAGCCATGATCCCCTTTAAAGAGTTAGCGTAGCATCATTCAACTAAAGACAGTAAAAGCTTCACCATCCCTGCATTCCCCACAGAGATCCTCTCCAGATGTTGTGGGGTAGGGAGGATTCACTCCTACAAGGGTTAAAAAGTTTAAACATAAAAAATAATCATTTAACGATTTACAAGAATACCATAAATAATCCTTGGCTCATTGTTTACTTGTATATATGTTCATGTTATCAAAACAACTTTGTTTCATTGATTGATTTAGGCAAGTTATTTCTAAGCTTGTGATTGACAGGTTATAAAACTCTGTACATGATGTTTCATAATGAAGGAGATCATGTGTACGAGAATTTATAACAATAATTATTTCTCCTTGGACTTCGTCTATATGTTGTTTCATAGTGAAGGAGATCATGTTATGAGAATTTACAGCAATTATATTTTCTTCTTTGGTTAGGTCTGAAGCCTGGATATTTAACTTCTGTTCTAATTCTTCTTATCCAATTTCCACAGTTAGTACCCCATTTCATATCTGTTGCAAGATTTTTTTGCTTCCATAAGTGATTGCAACCATGGGCTCACAATCCCAAACCAAGATATACATTAATTTACCACAAAGCTACCTCCAGAGCAGCCTTAGTTTAACTTCTCAGCTCCCTTAATCCGTTCCTGACCCTAAACCAAAACCTAGCCCAAAGCATGCCTATTTCACAGTTTTCCTATCAAATCACCTTAAATTACCCTAAAATTATAACCCAAAAGCTATTAGTGTACCATAAACCTTCTGTAGGTAGATTTCCTCATATCTGCCCCACATCAACCACACTTAAAATAAAAGGCAATCAGAAATAACAACAAAACAACAATACTAATGAAAATAACAAAAGATGTTTTGTCTTACTCTGTTGAACTTAAAAATATAAGAGCCAGCAATTCACACAATAATCAGCAAGTCAGCAAATATACTTGAAGATATTTCAAGCCCATGAGAAACAACCCAGCAGACATATTTTCAAACATAATGCTAGCCCTCAACGTATCAATATGGATTTCCCATGCAAAGGAACAAATAGACCTCAAGTATACAAGAACAAAAAAACTAGACAAATTTCAAGACCCCATCTACTTCTAGAACCCTATAGATGGAACTATAAGCATTTATTTATTATTAAAGTGAAGTTTAAAACTAAAAAGTTACCATTTGGAGCCACTTTTTACATTTGAAATGGTAAAGACATCCAAAGAATAACTTGACAAATCCTCCAAGTCGATCTCTGAAAGCTCACCGCCAGTGAAGTTAATTGGAAGGAGGACAAAAATCCCGATAATTGCAGTGAACAAAAATACCTTTAAACTGAAATATTCAGATTAAATTATAAGCATTAAATTGAGTCAGTTGCAGAGGAAACAGCCTAAATGAGATGTTAGCAGTCAAGTCTCAAAAAAGAAAAATATACGTATATATATATAAATATACATATATGTGTGAAGACAATTGCATAACAATGTGAAAAAGTAAAGAAATAAAGAAATTATTTAAATAAAAAATAAAAAATAAATGAAAAACAGGTGGGGCAAAAGAGAAAGGAGCAGCTGACAATTCTCATTTCCAAAATGATCTTTTGCCATTTTTTTTTTATTCTCAACCTTGTACTAGAAAACCTTTGTGTTGCCTGACCATTGATGTCCTAAATCAAATGCTCCCTTTTCTATTCAATACTTTTCAAATAATTATCTGGTAGATGGCATTCCTGAATACATTTAACTAAATTCATGATGATTTGATCATTCAACCCGACTTCTGATCAAGATTGTTTTCATCATCTCATTACTTATCTAAATTAAGCCAAGATCCAAAGCTGTTAAGTATTTGGCCAAACACCCTATTTGCACCCTGCACATTACTTTTTGCCACAGTCAACACCCTCAAGAATTTTTACTCCCATTCAACAGCCTACATAATTTAAAACCAGTAAAAAAACCCAAAAATTAACAGTCAACCCCCCTATTTGCACCCTGATTTTGTTGGTAATTTGGAGTTTCTTACAAGTTTCAAATTATAGAGGGTGTTGACTAGAAGTGAAAATTATGGAGGGTGTTGACTGCCAAAAAAAATAATTTGTAGGGTGCAAATAGGGGGTTTGGCCTAAGTATTTTTGTTCACCTACTTCTTTTTACTTACTAGATAACATTATTTTTCCAAGCTAAGCATAAATGATTTTCAGAGAAAAATGAACATAAAACTGGTAGGTATTCCCATCCAAGAAATTTTCTATATTGTTGTTTCTTCAAAAAGTCATCCAAAGTTTTATATATATATATATATATAACATTAATGTATCACTGATTTTTAATAAATTCCTCACATACGAAAGTGCGAAAAGGCAAGTTGTTTTGTAGCAAAAAAGGAAAAAAAAAAGGAAATGCATTATGCATATTTCCTAATCAAATCCAACATACCTAAAGGTTATGACACGCATAAAGACCACAACATCTAAGCCTGAGGCTGACAACAGATCATCTTCAGTGACGTTCCATGCTCTTTTTACCCAACCAGGAGATGGTATCAGTCTTTCTAAGTTGAAATGACTTCTCCGCTTAGAACTTCCATCAGCCACCAGTCGTGGAATATAAACTTCATAATTGCTTGGCTGTTTCCTCAATATTGAATACAATATGAAGAATAATACACAAAGCCCGAAATTGATTCCCACAGACGTTAGAAGAGCAGACACAAGCATCTTTTAAGAGGTATCTCTAGCCCTTGAAAAAGATGGTATAAATTGTTAAGCTGCACAAGCAAAGTACTTTGGTGCCAAAATGGAATTATTAATGAAATAAATCCTAAATTTCTAAAAAGAATCATGAAGTTCAAGAAACATTTTATCCATTCAAAACCTAAAATGAAAAGAAGTTTGCATTATTTAACTTTACACAAACATATTAGTGAAATCTAAAAGAAAAGATAATATGGTAATACATTATAATACCATGTGAGCATTTCCATCCCATAAAATAAAATAAATTATTATACAACATGATATAAAGGAACAAAGACAAATTTGATAGATGATGAACTATAAGACAAATTATGTTTCTGATTTAATCTCCCAAATAACATCAAAGAAGCAAAAAGCAAACCATAACCTTCATTATGCAATATCTCTAAGTAAATTTAATTGGCTAATGCTATGTTAACATCCTTCCATTCCCCTCCCCTCCCCTAAGTAAATAAATTAAAAGAAAAAATAAAGCAAAGGGCTTTCTCCCCCCCCCCCTCCTTCAATTCTTTCCAATTCTTTTGGTAAGCAAATAGAGGAAATTTCTCCCCTCCCTTCTATTTCCCTCAACCCAAACAATTTGACAAAGTGCAATTTCATTTTAAAATCAAATGATAGCACAAAGAAACCAGCTATACATCCACATCTCCTGACATAAATACATCCAATACATATTAATTAGAATTAGCATTCAAATAATTGGACTTATTGACACTAGAGAGTAATTAAATTCAACCTCTAGTTTTGAAGGAGAAAAAGGAAAGAAAGAAAGAAATAGAGAACGAATAAAAGAAAATCAACCTCCAGTCCAGAGTAAACAGGCAAATTATCGAGCTCACTAGTAAAAAATAAATCAAATAATCAATTATCAAGTCAATGTGACATTGCACATATTGTTTTTTTTTTTTTTTTTTCTCATGGATCTATTTTCTCCTATTATTCACATACAAGATTGAGAGCAATAAATAACTCAAAGGCACATCTGCTATTATAAACCTTGAGAAACAAAGAAAACCAGAACACTAAAACTCAACTTGTCGCCATGAATACAAACATGTGTCGGTAGAAACACTGGAATTCAAAGGGGGAAAGCAAAAGCCACAGCTACACTCGGAATTAAAGGAAAAAAAACAAAAAGAACAGATTGAAATTCGTACCTCTGTGAAAATCAAGCAATGCTATGGAGCTGATGATAGGATTAGCAAACAGATCAAGATTCTGTAGTAACTGGTAAAGGTAAATACGAGTTCATATTTAATGCTGTTGGGGGGGTGAGATTGTTCCTTACAGTGGTTTTGTTGCGACTGTCATTACCAGATATGCCCCTGAAATGCTTTTGGCTTTAACGTTAAGAGAGTGAACTGTGTGAAAGCATCCGTCGTGGTTCCGAAATTGTCCTTATTTGTGAAATTGGATGGGGAAGAATAGAGGAAGGTGGGGTTTTGGAGGGTTTTTTTGTTTCGGATGGATGGAGGGTAAACTATACAGTCAACGGTTTGAGAATCAGGATGGACGAACTGCAACAACCAGTCAATCTATCCGCCAAAGAGATTTTCGTGTTCATGGTTTGAAAGTAGTTCGGGCGGACGGCTCTCATCAGTTTCCGAGACCTACGGACGCTCTCTTTGGTGAAGTTTGGTAAGACGGTTAAGTGTCGTTATTAATTTTCTATCCCTTTCTTTACCCATTAATTCAGTATCTTTTCAAGTTTTTCAAAACACAGTGACCGCCCGCTTTTCCAAGAAAGCTAGTGAACAACCCAATCAAGAAAACTTGATTTCCAAATGGCTAGTAATTTCTCCTAAAACGCCATCCTCAGCTACAATAGGATACTCTCCAGTAGGGTTAGGTAGTAAAGAATTTCTCCTCTATCAGGCTATTCAGGTTTAACTTTTTTACTCTCTATAGTAGTGTAAGTTAAGAAAAACAATTATCTTTCCTTTTTAAAGATCTTTTGCGAAAGAAGTCGAAAGCAGCCTGAAATAGGAATCCTTCATCTATATATAAGTATATGAATATAGAATAATGAGACAAATAAAAGTTACAAACTATTCTCTTTGCCAAAGATTTGTATTTAAGCTAAATAACACATTAAAGAAAATAACATGAGATATATTTTATACATACTTGAAAGAGTGCAGATTACAAAGGATTTGAACGGAGTACAACCTTTGAGCAAACTCTCTCCTTTTCTACCTTCTCTATTTGCTATTATTTCTACTTCCTACTCCTTCTATTCAACCGTGACTTTTACTTCTATGAATGCATATTTAAAGAAAGAAAAACTAACCTGGGTTACAAAGTAACTGTAGTAAAAGTAACCTTAGTTACATAAAACTAACTATGATTAACTAACCCTAGGGTTATTTACAAAGGTAACTGAAAGTCAGTTATCTTTATCTTTTGGGAAAGATAAAAAGTAACCGGCTTTTGCGGAACATGTCTCATGACAGTCACTTTGGAGTAAGGCATGCCTATTCCTTTGTCTGACTTATTATCCCTCCATTTGGTTTTCGAGATTTTCCCACCCAACTGAGTCAAGATCATCATAAAAGGCTATACCCTCCGGATCATCTGGGTCATCATTGGGAAGGTCGTCACCCAAATCAGCGCTGCGATATTCGTATTGATCTTCACCAATTTTATATTCCTTAGAGTAAATATCTAGTAGTTGAGTGTAGCTTGTCTGAGGTGAAAAGGAAATCTCTCTTTGACTCTGACTATGAATAAACACATCAGGATCAAGATAAATTTTTTGAATACTGTCCTCAGTAAAGAGGGTGTATCCAGTTGAAAAATCATCTCCCATGACCTGCATGTGGGCCATTGTTCTAGCTCTCCAGTGTCTGAGTTGTTTTGTGAGGGACTGAGTAGTGGATGGCCAGACCTGAGCGTCTCTGTAGAGAGGCGATAAACTGCTCCTTCTTCTTAAAATAATTTTGTGCTGTGCAGGAAGCAAATGTCTACCCTTCCATTCAGGGGCCTTGCTCTGAATCAATGCCTCAACATAGTTGGGAGGCATGTTTTCTAAGACAGCAATGGCAAATTTTCTTCCAACAATATCAGTATCCGTCATTTTTGTAAAAATTAATTGATAGAGAAAACCATAATCAAGGAGTAACTGTGAAGTTAACTCAATGATTTCCCCTTCATATAAAAACTGAATGGGTTCATAGGAGGATAGATCTAGAGAAACTCTACAAATGCTATAGACCAGTTGACATTGACAGTCATATCTATCAAGTGGAATCACATCTGCAGTTTCTCCTTCACACCTATTACACCTTTTGAGCTTTCCTTATGTAGTAGAATAATAAATGTCCCATGTGAAGCCTATACCAGATCTGTTAATACCATCTTCGGCTATCTGTTGAACGAATTGTTGAATTGCCTTCAATTTAGCATGGCCTGAAGCTTCTGCTTTCTTGAAAATTAGTTGTCTTGAATCATCTGGCAGCTCGGATAAGGGAACACGTGGATTGAAATACATCCTGAGTTGCCTTTGAGCATCATCCACTAATGGAATAGATGTAGAAGTTGAGGAGGATCCTTCGATTAAATATTGATTAATTCCAAGTGGAGGAACTAATTGTCTTCCACCCGCCAGTGGGGCTAAGGTGGTCTTCACGATTTCACCTTAAGGTTCCTGCAAATCTGGAGAAAGATGAGGGCTAATGAAAAAGCTGTCTCCAAGATACTGTTGAGCAAATTGGATAGCTTCTTCAATTAGATAAAACCCTTTATAGAGTGGTTTTCTAAAATCTCGTATTTGGAACAAGATCTCATCCCACTTCTTATAAACTCCAGGGGTTTTTTCCCTTGATTAGAACATAATAATTAAATTTATTATATTTTTTCAAATACTGGGCTAAAGTTTTTAAATTGTTCTCAAAAAGGTTCAAATTGTCGAAGCTCTCCTGAATGTTGTTCAAAAGTTGATCAGCAACTGGATCCAAATTGAGACCTTCTGTACAGGACCTAGCTTTAGAGGTGTTGCCTCTATCGCTGGCTTTACCTGAAGTCGAGCGTCTCATTCCGATCGTGCACAAGAGAAGAATAAACATATCTACTTAGTCAGTCAGCAAGATAATTATCTTTACTTTTAATATGTTCAAATTTTACTTTAAAATCATTTCCAGTTATGATATTTACAAAATTCATCCATCTTTTAGAAGAAAAACTTCTTTCATTTTTCTTTTAAAAATATTTTACAATTGCCTCACAGTCTATTCTAATTGTAAAAACATCATTTTGGATGAAAAGTCTAAAAGAATTTAAAGCATTTATAACTCCTAATATTTCAAAATCAAGAGAGGTTAAAGAATTTTTACTTTCTCTGTACAACCCACTAGAATATCTACAAATCTTTTCTTCTTTTTGAGATGAGAATTCTTTTGGTCTGACTAACAGAATTGCTCCCCATCCTTCACTACTACTATCAGTTTCGACTATTTTGTAGTCTGATTCCAATGGTAGAGTTAGAGAGGGTAACTTTTTAACTTCATCTTTTATTCTTTTTACAAGTCTAACGTCCTCACTATTGAAAAACTTTTGTCCTTTGGGACTAAGTTTTGCATATAATGGTCCAGTCAGTTTAGATAGATCCTTTATATACATTCGGGCATAATTGAGTATACCCAAGAATTTTTGAAGTTCTTTAGTTTCCTCGATTTTGTCGGGAAAGTCAAGAATCTTCTGAACTATGTGATCCTGCAACTGAATTTTTCCCTGTCCAATCCTCATTCCTAAAAATTCAATGTATATTTTGGAGAGTTCCATTTTCTTTTTAGAAATTATAAGGTCATTTTTCAGGAATTCAGTGAAAAAAACCTGTAGGTGTTTGATATGTTCAGTCTCAGTTTTGCTGAAGACGAGAATATCATCAATGTAAATTAAGACGAAATCAGAATATTTTTTGAATATCTGATTCATCTTTCTTTGGAATATTGAAGGTGCATTTTTTAATCCAAACAGCATGACTTGCCATTCAAAATGTCCTTCGAGACAAGTGAAGGTTGTCCATGGAATGGATTCTTTTTCCATTTTGATCTGCTAGAAACCAAACTTACAATCAAACTTGCTAAAAAATTTTGAATTTTGAATGCAGTTGATTAGTTGGTCTTTATCTGGTATTCTATATGCATCTTCATAAGTGTTATCATTTAGCCCTTTATAATTTATGACCATCCTAGCCTTTCCTCATTTGATTTCTGCATGATTCCTTACCATGAATGCTTTATGACTCCTAAGGCTAAAAGTTCTTTTACTTGAACCTCAAATTCTTGCCTGTCAAGTGGACTGTGATCCATCTTGCCACAAGTAATTTTAAGTTCAAAATTTATTATATCTAGATTTGCTGTACATTTGTTTCGATCCCAATATTTGATTGGGTCTTCTCCTAAGACTTGAGTTTCATCAGCTATTCTGATTAACTCATCCAAGTTCCTTTTTTTGTAATTTTTATTTTTTTCTTTTGTTTTCTTCTTTCTAAAAGTTTGAAAGAGTTTTTTCTATATTTACATGCACTACCTCTTCACTATTAATTAAGTTATCAAAAAACTGATAATCTATAGAATCTTCAAATATTTCCAAAGTCTCTTCTGGGAGATTTGGTGTATAATCAGATTCCAATAAATCATCAAAAAACTTTTCATCACTACTTAAATAATTACTATTATATTCAAAATACTTATTTAATTTATTTTGGATTTTTTGGGGTGCTTTTTCTTCTGGGTTTGGAAGATTCATGACATATCTATCCGTTGGAGTGTAACTGATTCGTTTTGCAAACTGTACTTCATCAAAAGAAATTGTCATTTGGCCCTGGAAGTGAGTGATAAAGTTTAAGCCAATTATGAAGGGATAATTATTTCAGATATTATGTACAATTACTTGAGGTAAGGTGTATTTTTCTCCAAAATTTCCTAATCCCCAGTCCCAGAAAGAAATTTTTGCATCCTTAAGACATTTATCATATTTGAGTTGAGTTCCATCCATTTGAGTTCCATAAACAGCTTTCATTGTTGAGATTTGAGAACTCGGGATTTCTGTTTCAAGGATGTGAGATTTAGATGCTCCTGTATCAATCATTCCTAAGAATTCTTTTGTTTCTTCATTTTTGAAAGTGATTGAACACAGTATGCTGAGTAGGGTATTTGGATCTTTGGGATTTGTTGAAACATTAGCTGATAAAGTAGAGATTTGTTCTTCTTTATCTGTTGTTGGTTCATTAGCATCCTTTCCTTTTAGTGGAATTTTTGCTAATTGGTTCTCCAGTTCCTTTGTTCTTTGGTGGAGAAATTCTATCTGTTCTTCTAATTGCAAGATGTACTCATGCTTTTCATTGAGTGTTTTGTTCATTGATTTCATTTCTTGTAATAGAGACAAATTTTCTACATCTCTGATTAATTGTTCTTCATTTGATGCAGGGATGTTTATTTGATTTACAGGTTTTGAAGGCTGTACCTGTTCAACCTCTTCTTTTAA